GTAGGCAGTTGAAAATATGTGTATGATCATGAGTTCAGCAGAGAGGTCTGGACTGAAGATGTAAATTATTGAGCATCCTCATAGGAATGTAAATAGGAAAGAGAAAAGATGTAAGAACTGAGCCCTGCACATACCAACTTTAAGAAGTTAGGACACGTGAGGGGAATGTGGCAAGGGAGACTAAGAAGGGAGTAGCCAGTGAGTTATGAAGAAAAAAGAAAGCAAGGGTAAGGACTTCAAGGAGAGAGTGAGCAATTGTATCAGAAGCTGTTAAGTCAGATGAGGACCAAACCATTTGGCCATGTGGTCACTTCTGACCTAGAGCAGGGCAATTTCAATGAAGTGATTGGTGGCAAAGCCTAAATGGTATGGGTTTCAAAGTGACCCCAAAAAAGAGGATGTGAAGAAAGTTTGTCTGTAGGCTGTTCTTTTGTGGAGTTTTTGCTTTAAAGAATGAGAGAGAAATGGTAATGAGATGAAAAGTATAACAGACTGAGTTTTTGTTGCTGTTTTAAGATGGGAGACTGAGTTTGAATGATCTGGCAGAGAGAAAACAGATATGATGCTGGAAAGATAGGGAAAAATTGCTGGAGTATGGTTTTCAAGGTATGTAATTTAGACTCTAAAGACACTCACTAAATATAATTGAAAAGAATCAATTAAAGAAAGAGGATTGATGTTTTACTAGTATTGCCATATAATAAAATTGTAAAACAAAAATAATAATGTTATTAATGTTAAAAAGGAAAATACTGATGTGTAAAAAGGATGTCTCCAAATTTATCCAATTCTATATGAAAAAGTAGTACTTATCAAATGGAGTAATTGATATTTATACTTAGAAGTGAAAAGTCACAAAGTAAAATATGAACAAGTTGAACTACATTAAAACTATACTCCCTTTCCAACTAAAAATAAAATATCTGAAGAGAAGTATAATTAGATTGAAAAACAATATTTGCATCAAATATGACTTAAGGTTAATTTATTATGTAAGGTGTGCCAACAAGTAAATTACTATGTAATTAAGAGAGAAATGGATAAAGTACATACAGACTATTTGTACCATGGGAGATATAATTAATAAATATTAGGACCAATATTAACCTTGTTAATAACTCAAATGCAAAAGAAACCAATGAGATCCATTATACGTAGTATGAAAGTATAAAAAAAAGTCAAACTCCCCCTTTTCTGGTTACTCTGTGATAAAGATATTACTCATGCATTATTGGTGGCAATGTAATATTGTAATATTACAGTATACAATGTAATAATGTAATATTATTTAGTAATCTCAGATTATTATAACCTTAATAATTGCCAACTAACCTTTGAATTTTGTCTGTAAAGTTAAAGTAAGTTGATTTTAATGAAAAATCCTCTCATACCTTCGCAGAATGCTAGAGCTATACAAAAGAGTTTGGAGAATACCAGATCAGATCCTTTATCTTGAGAGAGACAGAAACTGAGGTCCATAATCAGTAAGAGGCTGACTCAATGTCATTCATCTGGTTAATATAACACAAGCTAGTTATAAATTCCACGTTTCAGAATGATAGCCCAATGATCTTTCTATCTTTCCTCTTACACACACACACACACACACACACACACACACACACACACACCATTTATGTATTATGTTTTAAATGCACAATAAATATGAGGTACCACATTTGGTGTGCTTTAGTTGAACTGATACAACTTTTACAACAGGTAAATATTGTAACCTTTTTAAAAAATATATTTTATTGATTTTTTTACAGAGAGGAAGGGAGAGGGACAGAGTTAGAAACATCGATGAGCTGAAACTGGTTTGGCTCAGTGGTAGAGCGCCGGTCTGCGGACTGAAAGGTCCCAGGTTCGATTCCAGTCAGAGGCATGTACGTTGGTTGCGGGCACATCCCCGGTAGGGGGTGTGCAAGAGGCAGCTGGTCGGTGATTCTCTCTCATCGATGTTTCTAGCTCTCTATCTCTCTCCCTTCCTATCTGTAAAAAATCAATAAAAATATATTAGAAAAAAAAAGAAACATCGATGAGAGAGAGACATCCATCAGCTGCCTCCTGCACACCCCTACTGGGGATGTGCCTGCAACCAAGGTTCATGCCCTTGACTGGAATCGAACCTGGGACCTTTCAGTCCGCAGGCCGACACTCTATCCACTGAGCCAAACCGGTTTCGGCTATGATAACCTTTTTAAGACGAGGACACTGAAGCTCAGATGGGTTGAGTATGTTCCCCAGGACCACAGAACTATTAGCTGGCATCCAGGTCTGATTCCAAAGCCAGTGCTCCTCCCTGCAATGGCCTGCCACAAGGTCTGGGGATTAAGTGCTCATGCCCACAGGGAGCTCTGGTTACAGAGGAGGTTCCTTGTATTTGCCACCGGAGGTTCACGTTGAGATAACTGTCTGATTTTTCTTTAGGCTCAGGACCAGCTGGCTGTTCCACTGGGTTAGAAAGAATGTAAGAAAATTCTATTTCCTGGTGTAAAAGGTTTCCAAGTTTGGGTAGATCCTGTGATTGATCTTTAGTGTCCTCATAATATAATCAAGGGAAAAGAAAACATCCAGTGCATAGATATAGGGAAACTGAGGAGGAAAGGGGCAAAATATAATAATGATGCTTTACCCGACAAGGATGCGTTCTAATATGCTAATGGTTCAATGGCTCAAGAAATACATTTCCTGGCACCTGACAAATACATTTCCATGACCTTTCCTCTCTCACATTTTTCTTCCTTCCTTTTACCACACACTTTAAATTCTGTAGCTTCTGGCATCACAAGCCTAACCCTCTCTCCGGTTAGGGAGCTCTCTAAGTCTCTCTCCTGTACAACCATCTCACACAACAAGGCAGAGACATTTCCAAAGCAAAGCCATTGCTTCCTATTACAATCTATCAGTTCTTCCTCAAATTCCTTGAAAACAGGCCCCAGCTTAAATTTCCAGCCTTTTCTCTCCCCAGTCCCTCAAGTCCTGTGTAACTAATCCGGGCTTTCCCCTCTCTGTGCTTGGCTCACGCTCACAGCCATGCTTTTGTCTGGAATCCTTTTCTGTTTAATCTTTGGCTGTCTAAACTCAGTCTGTCCTTTAAGGCCCATCTCGAATATAATCTCCCTTGCTTTTTCTGATTCTCCAACAAGATATAACTCCTTCCTTCTCTATCCGACATAACACAGGGTGTAACTCATAGGACATAGGACTTGACATTCTGATCTATATTGCAGATATAGTGTACCTGAACTGCCAGTTCCATTAAGATCAACTCTGTGTTACTACCTTTGTGTTATACATAGGTAACATCTAGAAAAGGCATTCATATTTGTAGCCATCGATAAAAAAACAAAAATATTATTTGAGTAATTCAAATGGAATCAATTGTGCTTCACTTACTCCACACCCCCACCCCCTTTTGAATCAGTTAAAGAACTAATAAAGAGAACCCAGAGAGGTTTTTTTTTTTTTTTTTTTTTTTTTTTTTTTAAAGGTACAGTTTCTTAATGGGGCACATGATTTTCTGGGTGCAGACACAACACTTGATGGGAGATCACTAGGTCTAAAAAGGTATGCTTGTATTATGTAAATGACGCTCAAAGACCCAAAAAGGCTAAAAAAACAACTTGATAATCTGTGATAATGCTTTTATTTCTCAAGTTTTAGTTTTGTACAGATGAACACAGGAAGCTGTGAAGTTTTAAAACTAGAAACTGTCCCGAGGAAGGACAAAGTGCTTTAAGACAATCAACTGACAATGTTTCAATGCTGTTGCAAATCGGGTTGACTATTAAATCCACACCCAAAAAGAAAATGTAGCTTTCTCCCTAGTTGGAAACAAAGTTAAATATCTGGTGATGCTTTCTCCCACATTCTAAAGTTAATCAGAGAAGCCAGCGCCTCACGAAAACATCTCATAAAGATCAGGAGATAATGACTCCTACAGAGATCATGAATAATACATCCGCGGGTCCCAGGCTGTCACTGCAACATTGCTGTTGTTTACTTTGTAACTTTTTTTTTGAGGAGGAGGAGGAGGAGAGGGGTAAAATGGCAAGGAAGGGAGGCCATCAGTTTCACACAGTAGTCCAACAAATAGCTTCACACCATAAACCACAACCCAAGCAAATTTTTTTAAGTGGGACCTGTAGCACTTGGTAAGCACACAATCAAAACAAACCGATCATCTGAACAAAGGGCCACAGGCACCTGCAGCCTCTTTAAATCACTTTAGCAAAGATCTTTTCCGCCCAAACCACCAAATTCTCCACTCGGGGGAGAGCAGGCGGGTGTCACCCTTCAACAGTGAGCTCCTTTCTGGGGGAAACTGTAATAAATCATGGGGCCACTGGGACCCTTCCCAGGGCTTGGGAGCTGGGAGCTGGGAGCGGTCGCGAGTTTTCAGACAAATCTCTCCTCCTACACCACGTGACCGGGTGGCCATCCGCCGCGGGGGGGGAGAGAGAGAGAGAGAGAGAGGGAGAGAGGGAGAGAGGCGCCAGCCGCGCACCGGCCTCGGGATACAAAGACTCGGGGCCGCCGCCGGCGCATCCCCCCGAGGACCGCGGGGCCGGCCGCTCGGCGTGTGCGGAGCCTGCGCAGGGGCCGCCGGCGGGCGCGCCGCTCCCTCCCGGCCGCAGGGCGGTGCCGCGCAGCGCGGCCAGGCGGACAGGGAGCGCGGAGCGCGCCGCCAGCCCAGCGCGCCTGCTCCTCCGGCTCCGCGGGAGCAGGGCCCCCGCCGCCCGCGACCCCGCCGCCGCCGGACCCTCATCCGCCGCAGGGAGCCTCGCAAGGACGCGGACTATCGGGTGAGGAGGAGGAGGCCGAGGTCCCCCAGCCCCGGGCAGGCCGAGGCCGAGGCCGGGCCGGCCCCGCACCCGCCTGGGCCCAGGCCTGCCTGCCTGCCCGCCCTTGCCCTGCTGGCTCTGCCCCTGCTTCTGCCTGCCCGCCTCCCCCGGGGCCTCCTGCGCGGGCTACGGGGCGCCGTGGGCAGCACTTACACCACGGCTCGGGAGATCATCCAGGACACCATCTTCCCGGAGGCGAGGACCCCGCCGCCGGGGCGGGCGGGCGGGCGGGTGGGCGCCGAGCGGGCCGGGCCGGACCAGGCGGCCAACGGCAGGCCGCGCGCTTCCCGGGGCCGCGCCGGTGCCTTGGGGAGCCGGGCCGGTGTGTGTATGTATATATATGTGTGCGTGTGTGTGTGTGTATGTGTGTGTGCGTGTGTGTGTGTGTGTGCGTGTGCGCGCGCCGCGGCCCGAGTCGCGAGGCGGCCGATCCCTCCTCGCCCGCCCCCGCCCGCCCGCGGCCGGTCCTCCCGGAGCCGCGGCCCCGCCCCGGCCTCCGCTGATAGGCGGCGCGGCGGCGGCGGCGGAGGCCGGGTCCCGGCGGCAGAGCCCGAGGTTTGGGTAGGTGGGCGGGCGAGGGGGACCCCGGGACCCCGGGACCCTGGCGCGAGGCGATCGGTCTCGCGGCCGCGACCCTGCGCTGGAACCCCCGTCTTCCTTCCTCCTCCAGTCCCGGCCTGGATCGTGCCCCCGGCGTGGAAGGCGCTTGGTGGCCGGAGGCTGGGGAAGGGGCGGGAAGGCCGGGGTGGTCAGTGAAGAAAGCAAGCAGGGAGTGAGCAGCGGGAACTCCGGGCCCCGTGGGCCCGCGCGGACCGGGCTGTGGGCTCGGAGGAGGCGAGTGGCGGCGGCGCGCGGAGCCACATCCGGCGTCCGGACCCCGGTCCCCGGGCAACTTTTTAAAGCGCCGCGTCCGGAGGGAAAAGGAGGGCGGAGGCCTGTCCGGGCCTCGGGTGCGCCGGGATTCCCCCGCGCCTGGTGCGGGGCAGGGAGGGGCGGAGGAGGGAAGGGTTGTATTTCACGTTTTGCAGCAGTGGGGGGAATTGTGTGTGTTGATAACGCGCTCTCTCCGGGGCCTGACTTAGGGGCCACCTTTCCATCCCCAAATGTGCAAAGCCAGTTTGACAGAAGCTGGTGTGATGCCTGCCAGATAATTCGAAGTAAAAGCTGGGCCTAAGACTACTGACCTGTTCAGCTATTTTCAGCTATTTTTTTTTTTTGGGGGGGGGTGTTGGATTACTATGCTGTTAGAACACTTTGCAGTTCTTACAGATAGCATAATCCAGGAGGTAGGATTTTAAAGCTTTTTTTGGTGGCAGTGCCAAATTGCGAAAATAATCTGAAAGTTTAGTCGTGCCTTTTTTTGTTGTTGTTCTCAGTCAAGATAAGGAAAGATAATTCTAATATTTAGGTGGGACAAAGAATAATGGGTGATACGTGGGCCCCGAGTCTTTAATTAAAGTCCAAGAAAATATCATAGCTTATTTTGTGGCCATACTGTAATTTACTCTTTTTGTTCCTCAGTTTCCCCATGGTAAAAAGAGGCTAATAATACTGTGGCCTACCTCTGGCCTTTTAGGGGTGACATGAGGCAATGCTAAATAACATGTTTAAGAAGTTCTCAGAGTTGCTTGGATGAAAATCAAAGACACATAAGATTAAGATTATCCCGAGTTCTTCTTTTAAATTCCCAGGGGTTCAATAGATTTAGTAATATTTTGATTATTTAAGAAATGAGCTCAGAAGCTGTTTTATACTCTTAAGTGGGGTTCTTTTTGTTTTTCTCATATTAAGAATGTGTTTTAATTTGAGGGGTCTTGCTAATGAACATTTGTGTTTGTTCAGAATTCTATTTTTGGCCATTAGCATTATTTGGGGATCAGGTGTGTCACATAAGCCCCAGTTTTCTGAAAAAATCTTGTGCAATAAAAACTCAAAATCATTTGAATGGCATTCAAATCCCTCCATGAACAGGCCCTGAGATTTTTTTTTATAGCTTTAATTTTATTGTCTTCTCAATCCCTAATATACCCTTCCCTAGCTCACTTCTCAGAGCCAAGTTGTATTTTCATCCTCGGTGACTTTTTTTTTTTTTTTTTTTTAATTATTTTCTCCCCATTCTCTTTCAGAATCCAGGCCCCCTTCCTCTTCCCCTAACCCCCCTCCCATGTTCTGTGTTGTGGTGATGGCCTTGATTTTTCTCAGTAAGAATTATTCATATTTTTCTAGGCTCCCATAATTTATTACTTGAGTTTCTATTTAATGCCTGTGCCAATCTGCTTTATATTATGGCTATGTTTTACTAATGTCTAAGCTACTGGATGGTAAAATATTTGAGGGCAAGATATAGTATATTAAATGTCTTTGTGTTTTCCCAGTGTCTAGTATAGGGTAATTGCCCAATAAAAGTTTGAATAATATTAGTTACTCTCTGAAGTATCACAACTTGACAAAATTTCAGCCATGTACAATGTAAGTCTCTTAAAGATCTTAGTCTTTCTTGTCTTCTTAATTTGGGGGTCATCATTCTGAATATAAATTATTTCACTGCATTGTAATATAGTAATGCCTTCAGGGGTTGCTGAGATATTTAGGACTGCTGGCTGCTCTCTGAAATGTCCCTGGGTTGTTGTGTGTTAAATTTCATTTTGTATGCTTATTATATTTTCAGTCTCCTCCACATTCATGTTGCTTTTTGCCACACTCAATCTGGAATATCCAGCCCTCTTACTCACAACTCAATATGCCATGTGTTGGAATCTACCTACACCCAAGTTGTTACGTTGTTGAGTCAACCTCTACACCCCAAAAAGCCTAGGTAATGTTTATTCCCATTTGATACACTGGGAACTGAGATTTAGATAGCTCACTACCAGTGACCTCATAGGAAACAACTGAAACTGTAGTCCATGCTTCCTGGGCATTCTTTACATTATACTCTGACTAGAGGTCCAGGGCACAAAATTTCGTGCACAGGTAGGGTCCCTAGTGGCTGTGGGCTGCTAGCTGGGGTCTTCCTTCGTTCCACACCGCCTCCTGGTGGTTGGCACATGTTATAGTGAATGATTGAACTCCCAAGGGGACACTTTGCATATTACGTGTATATATATATGAATTGTGTCAAGGCAGTGGATCCAGTTGGGGAGTGCCCTCTAGGGGGTCGTTGGGAGACATTTTGGTTATTATTGTTGGAATGACAGAGGGTAATCAATAGCATTTAATGGGCAGGTTTCAGGGATGCTATAGTTTTTTGCAGTCTGTGAGCTATCCTGAACAAAGAATGTCACAATGTCCTGCATGGTTTAGGAATATCCTGCCTGACATCTCTGTACTATTTGTAATTATGTGAACTTAGAACCTGCATTTTACATATAAACTCATGGTTTTAAGTGAGACTGAATTTTCCATTATTTCCACATGCAACCCATGTGTGAAAGGAAGATTTATTTCCTTCATAACTTGACCAAAAGTTGACAGCTTTGAAAAATTGCATCACAAACAACGTTGCATTTGTAGCTGTCATGTGTAGCTACTAATTACATTTGTCTTCTAGTTCAGTTTTGTTTCAGGATTAATATTGAAATACATATTATCTTATAAATTATTTCCATTTCCCTTTTCCATTTATATTTATTTGGGGTATATGAATTTTTTAAAAGTCGATAGGAATATTGTTATTAAGTTCATGTCAGGATGACAAAGCAGAAGTTGGAAAATAGTTTTTGGAAGGGAGGAATCAAGTCTGATGTTGGTTGAGTGCTGTTGGTCTAAACCAAGAGTAACTTCATCTGAGGAGGAACCTTTCATGAAAAGTACTTAGATTATAATAGTGTTTCTAATCTTTGTATACTTGGGCTGTGCCTTGGATAGTTGAGATCTACTCATAGGTGGGCATTAAATAAGTGCTTCACGGCGCAAAGCCAGGCTCAAGAGACAATGGAACAAAAGGAAATACATTACCAGCTGCCCAGAAGCTTTTAGAGTGTGGTCTCATTGGTGTTCTTGAGATCATTTCCTGTATTCCAGATAAAAATTATTTGTTTTAAATATTAAACTTCTCATATACCACTAGAATTCATTTGTGCTATGAAGTGCTTCCTTCATTGTGTTCTGCCAAGATGATTTTCATTGTGTATTGAGTTGAATCATGGTTGGAAGCAGCAAGCATATTTAGGGCAAAAGGAGAGGTATTTCTACCAGTAACAATCTGTCTCCTGTTAAATGGGGATGATAATGTTATGTAAATCAATTGCCAAGGGTTTTAAAACCGAAAGTAATTAGATCATATTAAGAGAATTGCTTCCTTTTTTACATCTTCATTTAACAATGTTCCTGGGGGAGTACGTGGAATATGCATCTTCTACATGTTAAAGGAGTTCATTTATTAGGAAAAGAAAAGAGTGTGAAATTACCTAGATGAGTAGGTAGTGAGAGCAGAATTACAGGGCACAGAGATAGTATCTAATCTATGTAATTATTAATGAGTATGCTAATGAAACTAGATACTGGGTCACCTTCCCATTTTTAGTGGAGGAGTATTTTCAAGTGCTTGAAAGTATTTTTATTGGAAAAAGGCGAAAATTACTAAATGAGTCTACCTTTAATAGTTGTTTAGAAACTAGTGTGAGGGAAGGGATCTTAAAGAGAACGATTTATAAGACAAAATCTGTTCTTTTTCCACCTGCTGCTAGATGAATATTTCTTCTGTCTTGGCCAGTAGGCATTATGGTATTTTGGTTACCACAGAGGTTACATATGGCATCTGATATCGAAATCAAGTTATAAAAGAAACTAGAGACCCAGTGCATGAATTTGTGCACCATTGGAGTTCCTCGGCCTAGCCTGTGGGATCCGGCTGAAACCTGCTCTCCAATATCCTCTGAGGGGTCCCAGATTGCTAGAGGCTTAGGCCAGGCTGAGGGACCCTACCAGTGCATGATCAGGGTGGGGAGAGAGGTGGGAGGGACCAGCCAGCGAGGGACTGCTGGAGGGCTCCAGGGCACAAAAAATTACAAGGCATACTGAAAGGAAAAAAAATGGAGTTATTGAGGTGCATCCTTTGTTTAGTTCCAATAAACTTTTACAAAAAAACTCTTAATTAAGTTTATTAATGAAAAAATAAATCTCAGAAAAATGCACAAAGGCAATTTACAAAAGTAGTACAAGGGTCAGGTCATACTATTCCTAA